CTGGCCTCGAGTACTTATCTGCTATCCTGCTGATCGAGCTTTGCCTGATCTCGCCTGCCTTGCGACTCCGATCCTTTCGATGTCTTCTTTCTCCTGAGAAATCACAACGTGACGCGTTAGTCTAATTGCTTAGAAGTGCTAACTTATCGGTTCGTAAAATAGAATAGAGTTTATTCATTTGTTTCCTTTTTAACCCTTTGAACTCTGTAGGCTCCAATATTTTAATGAATCTTAAAGAAACTACCCTAGAATTATTAGATTCTCCACAGATCCGAATTTTGTACTAAGGAAAATAAAAAATCGAAGAAATGTTGCATTTCTCATTTTCGTTAGCAATATTATAAAAATTAGTTGCAGTTGCTCATAGATTACGAAACAACCTGGAGTGCTAAGGGTTAATTGTTTATTTCTTTTTATTACTCGCTTTGAGATGGGAGAATGAAACGATCACACTACTTAGAATTTTCTTTATGTGAAAACATGTAGAGTATTTGATGTACTCACGAGTGATCGCAGCTGTTGCCGTTCGTTGTTGCTGGCCTCGGGGAACCCGAATCGCTGCGACAATCGTTCGATGTCCTCTCTTCCTCGTCGTCGGATGTCTCCAAAACTTTCGTGAGAAGCTGCGGCGTTCCTTCTGAGCCGGTTGAGCTACATTCCACCGACAACTCGATGATGCTTTTCTCGTCCTGAAACGTTGGCGTTTCAATCGTTATAAACTAGCATTACTTAGCCGATTAAGTGAAATAACCATTATAACTACACTGACGATCTTCAATTCAAACTTTCAATATAATTAAAAAAACAGAATGTTTTTCCTAAGAAATACTATATACTGCATCTTGAGTATTTTATATATTTTTCCATCTCGCATGCATTCTGTGCAATTCTGCACTTTCAGATTTCTCGTGAATGCATAAAACTCCACAGTGTAGTTACAACTGTTATTACAAAATAAGTCGCAAAGCACCTCTTTTTTCAGTGTGTCCAGCAGCCTTTTCCTATCTGCTTTCAGCTGCTCAGCGTGTTCGGACTGGGCTGCGTTCTTGATTCCGGACAGCTCCAGCAGAGCGAGGTGCGCGTCCTTCTCGGACACGGCAGCCTTCAGAGCTTCTCGCCTGGAATTCAACATACAAATGTTGCACATTGATCCTCCAGTAACGGAGTCTCCCAAGCTACTCACTTCATTTGCCGCAGATCCTCCAGCTGTACGGTTCTTTCCTCGGTGAGTTTCTCGAGCCTCGTTTCGTACTTGTGCAGTTTGGAGAGCAATGGCTGGCAAGTGATGCACTTTAGCGCCGAGGCAGACTGCATCGACGTTATCCTTTGCTCTAACTTAGCTACCTGCAAGAAACATCGTGAAGGCTTGTTATAAACGTGACTCGACGCGCAATGTTAGGAGATTTAACCCAGTGCAACCTATTTGACTCAATTTGTATTGTCCTCTTACTCTTTGCAGGGCTTCCTTCCTCATCTTCTCCTCATTCCTCGACTTCCTCTCACTGTCACTGGTAATGACGACACTCTCGCGGAGGGCTTCGCTGAGCTCCTCGATCTTGCTCCTCTTCTCCGCCAACTCTTTCGACATCTGTCTTTCCTTGTTCTCCTTCTCCTTGATAATGTTCACGAGCTCCTCGATCTGTTCGAGGTCGATCCTCTCGTTGAACGCCCTCTCCAAAGAGTCCACCTCGTCCTCGAGCTGCTGAATCCTCTCGTCCCTCACGCGAATTTCCTCCTTCAGGACCCCGATGTCGTCGTACTCGCTGAGCTCTTTCTTCAGACTGGCCACCTCCTTCCTCAGCTTCGAGATCTCGTCCTTGCTCTCGACGATCTGCTGCTCGTACGCCTGGATCTTGTTGTCCTTCTCCGAGATCGCGTGCTCCATCTTCTTCATCTTCTGCTCCCGCTCGCGCAGCTCGCCGTTGCCGTCCATGATCAAGCGACTGCACGGCGCGTCGTCCGGTATCATCGTCGTCCCCCTATCTTCGAAGTTTCGGTGATCCTTCTGAGCTTCTTTTCCTACAAATTTATTCCGTTAAACGCTCCGAACACTACGAGAGTACTCTAAAATGCTTTCAGGAATTCTAGATATCACAGGTCATTCGAAAGTGAAACTTTTCCCCTACGCACCGGTATTCTTGGATTCTAATTAACTTAATGTTCGTTTCATTTCGGTCGGTTACAGTGGAAAATGAGCATTTTCGATCCATCCTCATCTCATCGTCCTTACCTCGGTGACTCTCCTCAACCTTCAACAGTTCCTTCTCCAAACACCCAACTCTACTCTGCAGCTGCTCGATCCTGCACTCGCGGTCCTGCAGCTTCATCTTCAATCCGTCCACGTTGTGCTTCCTGACGTACTCCTCCAACTGCGTGACCATCTCCTCCAGCTCGACGATCCGCTCCTGATCGATCCTCGACTTCCTGTCCTCGCCGTTCTTCTGAATCCACCTCTCCAGCTCCTGGACCCGCCTGTTCCCGGCGGCGACCTGGCAGCGAAGTTCGTGCAGCTCCTTCACGTCCGGGTTCTGCTTGAGAAAGTCCTCGAACTCGGCCACCGTGTCCTCCAGCTCCTCGATCCTCCTCGCCTTCCTCTCGACGATCATCTCCAAGTCTCGAACGCTCTCGGTGTCCGCGTGCTCCCTGAGGAAGTTCTCGAGCGACTCCATTTCCTGCTCCAGCTCGACGATCCTCCGATTCTTCGCCTCCATCTCCTGTTTCCAGGACTCGCCGCCCTCTTTCGCTCTGCACTCGTTCTCCTTCGACCGCTTCGACTTGGACGACTGACCCTCCTCCCTCGCCAGGCTCTTCAGGGACTCTATCTCGTCCTCCATTTGCGCTATCCTTTTGCTCTTCGTCTCCAGCTCCCTCTTCCAGGACTCCTTCTCCTCCTTCAGCTCGTCCATCAGCTTCAGACTCTGCGTGTCGCCGTTGTTGCTGTCCTTGACGGGCTTGCACGCTATCAACTCGTTCTCCAGCTCGGCTATCCTTCGGTTCTTCGACTCGAGCTCCTTCTTCCAGCCCTCCTGCTCTTCCAAGCTTCCGTTTCTCGCGTCCTTGATCTTCTTGGCGCACGTGTGCTCCTTCAGCAGCTTCTCCAAGGAGGATGCCTTCAGCTCCAGCTCCGTTATCTGCCTGTCTCTGGCGTCCAGCTCCCTTTTCCGGTGGTCTCCGGTGTATCTCGTGTTCTCCAGGTCCTGTGCGTGCGTGCGTCGGTGCGCGTGGACATGGTCGTGACGTGGTCGTGGTGCGTGCGCGTAGGCAACGGTAGAGTGGAAACGTAACGAACAAAACGTGAACGGAAATGAACGAAAGAAACGGATTTTCGTTGTGGGGGGAGGGACGGGCGAAAAGTGGGGAAACTTGCGGGGATCAGATTTCGTGCTGAACGACGTAATGGTGCGCCTCCGAATGAGTATGGCCGCGAACGTGCCACGAACCGGAAGATCTTTCTCTCTGTTTTCTCTCCTTTGTTCTTCTGTTCTTCCGTTTATGCTTCCGGTCATTCTCATAGCTATCTTCGTGCTACTCTTTTAATGATATCCTCACGTTCGACGTATCCATTGCGTATGGCGTACGGTATGTTCGAAAAACCACTACCGATAATCTCCTTGGCGTTACAGCATTTTCCTTCATGTCGTTTCCTCCTCTGTCTATCGTGTCTCTCTCTCGCTCTCACACTCTCTCTCTCGCTCTCTCTCTCTCTCTCCCTGGCTTCTTCGTTACATTATATCGTGAAATTTCTCTGTATACATTTATATTTATATATCTACATACGTATATCTCTGCAGCGTACGTGTATATATACATGTAGATTACATGCGTCTGTCTTCTTTCTCCGTAAGTATTTATACATGTATATACATATATATATTAATATATTTATATGTATGTATACGTATATATTTATATATATATATGTATATTATCGCAATCGGTAAATAATTAATATTATTGTTGCCGTTGTCCTCTCTCATTTTTACATTTACATTTATATTTATATTTATATTTATATCTATATTTATATTTATATTTATATTTATATCTATATTTATACTTATACTTATATTTATATTTATATTTATATTTATAT